GTATCCAACAGTTTTAACACTCTCTGAAGGAACCTACCTTTTCCATCAAGCTTCTGGTCAGCTGACTTTCTCCCTGACTCAACATTTTTTTTTAAAAACAAAAAATGCACTCCTAATGTTCCACTACATTAAAGGAACTTGACAATTGCAGATTGTTGGTATTCGTGAACAACTATGTTAACTGAATATACATTACTTTCTAATCCAAACTGCAAGACAAATCAGAAAAGTAGAAGAGCAAAGTGACCTTTATTATAATTGCTCAAAAACATGGAGTTTATTTAAAGAAGTTAATCCCAAACCTTTTTGCAGTACTAAATCTATGGATCATCAATATCTTCCCAAATGTATTTGGTTGGTGATCAGTAATAAGATCAACATTATCATAGCCTTGAACAAAATATTTCCATTATTTTCTTTCTAAAAATGAGATTAAAGCCTTCAACAAGGTTCTGCACAGCAGACTAATTAATAAAGTTAGGTCAGATGGGATTCAGAGTGAGCTTGCCAATTGGATACATAATTGGCTTAACAGCAGGAAACAGAGTGGTGGTGGAGGGTTGCTTCTCAGTCTGGAAGCGTGTCACCAGTGGGGTGTTCTACAGGGATTACTTCTGGGCCCTCTTTGTTTGTTATTTACTTAAATGATTTGGATGAAAATAGAGTGTAGAAGGCATGGTTTGTAAGTGTGCAGAGACACCAAAACTCACGGCATATTAGACAATGAAGAAAGTTTTCTAAGATTACAAAGGGAACTTGATCAAATGGGTCAATGGGCAGAAAAGTGGCAGATGGATTTCAATCTGGACAAATGCGAGGTATTGCATTTTGGTACAACAAACAAGGGTAGGGCTTATACAATTTTTGGGAGCACTTTGTGTGGTGTTGTAGAACAGAGAGACCTGGGGATGCAGGTACATAATTCTTTGAAGTTCGCGTCATATATAGACAGTGTGGTTAAAAAGGCATTTGGCACACTTGCCCTCATTGCTCAGTCTCCTGAGTATAGGAGTTGGGAAGTCATGTTGATGTTATACAGGACACTGGTGAGGCCTCTTCTGAAATACTGTGTCCAGTTCTGGTCACCCAGTTATCAGAAGGATATTATTAAGCTGGAGAGGGTTCGGAAGAGATTTACCAGGATGTTGCCAGGTATGGAAGACCCAAGTTATAAAGAAAGGCTGGATAGGCTGGGACATTGTTCACTGGAGCGTAGCAGGTCGAAAGGCAACCTTATAGAAGTTTACAAAATAAGGAGGGGTATAGACAGAATTAACGGTTGTTGTCTTTTCCCTAGGATGGGGGACTTCAAGACTGGGGGCACATTCTTAAACCTTTCTCCTCTCAACTTAAAAAGGACTTGAGGGGCAAATTTTTCACACAGAGGGTGGTTCACGTGTGGTAAACTTCCTGAAAAGTGGTGGATGTGGGTATGATTACAACATTTAAAAGACATTTGGATAAGTAGATGAATAGGAAAGGTTTGTCACCGCTACAGACGTCAGATCAGTCTTTCTGGGAGTCAACCCAAGGAAAGCGACGGGCCCGTACAGAGTACCTGGCCGAGCACTTGGATCCACTGCGGACCAACTGGTGGAGGTATTCACAGACATCTTCATCCTCTCCCTTCTACAAGCCGAAGTCCCCACCTGCGTCAAGAAAACCACTGTCATCCCATTACACAAGAAAGCACATACAACGTGCCTTAATGACTACCGCTCAGGGGCTCTGACCTCCATAATCATGAAGTGCTTTGAAAGGCTGGTCATGGCCCACAGCACCTCTAGTCTCCCAGCCAGCATTGATCCTCTATAATTTGCCCACCGACAGGTCCACAGTGGATGCCATTTCCCTAGCTCTGCAGTCATCCCTGGAACATCTGGACAACAAGGACACCTACGTCAGTCATAGAAACATAGAAGATAGGAGCAGGAGGCGGCCATTCGGCCCTTTGAGCCTGCTCAGACATTCTTCACAATCATGGCTGATCATCCAACTCAACAGCCTAATCCTTCTTTCTCCCCATAACCTTTGATCCCATTCGCCCCAAGTGCTATATCTAGTCGTCTCCTGAATACATTCAATGCTTTGGCATCAACTACTTCCTGTGGTAATGAATTGCACAGGCTCATCACTCTTTGGGTGAAGAAGTGTCTCCTCATCTCTGTTCTAAATAGTCTACTCCGAATCCCCAGACAGTGACCCCTCGTTCTGGGCACACCCAACGTCAGGAATATCCTCTCTGCATTTACCCTGTACAGTCCCGTTAGAAATTTAAATCTCTATGAGATCCCCCCCCTCATTCATCTGAACTTCAGCAAAAACAATCCCAACCTAGTCAATCTCTCCTCATACATCAGACCCGCCATCCCCAGAAACAGCCTGGTAAACCTTCGCTGCACTTCCTCGAGGGCAAGAGCTTCCTTCCTCAGAAAAGGAGACCAAAACTGCATATAATATTCTACGTGTGGTCTCACCAAGGCCCTGTACAACTGCAACACATCCCTGCTCCTGTAATTGAAACCTCTTGCGATAAAGGCCAACAAACCATTTGTCTTTTTTACCACCTGCTGCCCCTACATGCTTACTTTCAGCGACTGGTGCACAAGAGCGCCCAGGTCCCGCTGCCCACTCCCCACTCCCAATTTACAGCCGTTCGGGTATTAATCTGCCATTTGTTTTGCTTCTGAAGCAAATAACTTCAGTTATCCAAATTAGACTGCATCTGCCATTGACCTGCCCACTCACCCAACCTGTCGAGATCATGCTGAAGGATCTCTGCATCCTCGTCACAGTTCACCCCCCCACCCAACTTGGCATCATCTGCAAACTCCTGCTCATCAACAACAGCTGTGCCTTCAAAACCATTCTCCACTCCGGACAGATCTTGGCTCCGTCCTTTGCAACTGGATCCTCAGCTTTCTGACACACAGACCACAATCAGTAAAGATAGACAACTGCACTTCCTCCACAATAACACTCAACACTGGAGCCCCCCAATAATGCGTTCAGTCCCCCACTATATTCCCTGTACACCCATGACTGTGTTGCCAAACTCTGAATAAACTCCAACTACAAGTTTGCTGATGACACCACTGTGGTAGGACAGATGTCTAACAACGATGAGTCAGAACACAGAAAGGAGATAGAGGGCTTGGTGACACGGTGCAACGAGAACAACCTCTCAACATTGGCAAAACTGAAGAAATGATCATTGACTTGAGAGAAGGGAGGAGAACATTCCCCTATCTACATCAACAGAGCTGATGTTGAGTGTGTGGAGAACATCAAGTTCCTAGAAGTGACGATAACCCACAACCTGTCCTGGACTTTCCATGTAGATGCGAAGATCAAGAAGGCACAACAACACCTCTTCTTCCTCAGACGGCTCAGGAAATTTGGCATGTCCACAAGGTGTCTCAACAACTTTTACAGATGTACCATTGAAAGCATACTGTCCAAATAGATACAGAAGCTTGAACAGACACAATGACAGGTCCAGGAACAGCTTCTTCCCAGCTGTTATTAGACTGATGAATGGACTCTCTAACTTCAAGTAATGCTGATCTTGCTAATGTTGATCTTGCCTAGCACACGCCCTATGCGACATAAGTTGTGTCTCTGCCTAGTTTTTTTTCATCTTATGAACTGTATGTCCTAGCTTACTATGATCTGCTTGTACAGCTTGTAAACAAAGCTTTTCACTATACTTAGGTACACATGACAAATAAACTCAATAAATACTTGGGTATGGGTAAGGAGCAGGCAGGTGGGACTAGCTTAATTTGGGATTATGTTCGGCATGGACTGGTTGGACCAAAGGGTCTGTGTCTGTGCTGTATGACTCTATGACTCTATGACTATGACTGGAAATCCATGCACACTACATCTGTGACATCAATGTGCACAACCTGAAGCTCACTTTCCAAAGGAAGACAAATAAGGGTTGGGGATTTGAATTTCTTTTTAAATCAGTACTGCAGCAAATGCAAATTCTACTTCTAATTAGCAACGAGTAATGTGTGAAAACAGCTACCAACCTTGAACAGGAATGTTGTCAATGGAAAACTAACTCATGTCACACACACCACACCTGAACTTTCATTCTCAAAGGAAAGTTCCCAGTATGCCACATTTACCCTGGAAACAAGTGCTACAAACAATGGAAATCCTCATTTGGAGAGGAAGGGATACATGCTGGATTCAACCCCCATCCAAACGTTTCCCCAGGAATGATTGGAACAGTTACAGGAAGTGTCAAAACAGACTTTTAAGAAGGGCGACACCTCCAGGCTCTGAGACTCTGTCCCAGCTGTGGTTGAATAATAGGCTAAGAGAAACACTATTTTCATTCTATGTCAAAACATGATCCCAGCCACACCCAAAGGGCCCTTATTTCCTCCATACCCGTCTATGCCCCTGCTCATCCTCATGGCTCTCTGTACACAAACGGGGCCACAACACATAACCTACCATTCATACCCACGTCCTCTTATAAATCCCTTTGTCAACTAGAACATTTCTAATTCCTATAGATGTGGCTACAAGTTGACTTTGTATATAAGATTATCCCTTTCTGGACAAAATGCTTATTTAGGCCTACAAAGTATACAAGTCAACCCCTCCAGTTTTCAAATACTTGATGCACGTTTATTGCTATTAGCACATTAGGAATTGGCTTCCATTTTTTAGTTAGGAAATACATGTTTAGAGTTACACACACCTTACAAGTCAGCAAATGGGATTGCGCAGGCAATGAGTTGAAGACACACCCTCGTGTGCAGACTGCACATGGCAACTAACATTCAGATTTTTATTCATATTTCAAAATGGGAAACGACACCAACACCAACACCAACAGTTCACATTTTATACTCAGCATGTAAGCTGGCTCCTGTTTTTGGAAGGAGTTTACAAAGCTTCAAAGACTAACTATATGCCACAATCGACAGGATGCAAAACAAAACTCTACAAGATCACCAATTCCAGAATTTCCATACTTCATATGTTGGTCTTTCTCGCACCCGCTCCCAACGTGGTCTTCCAGGAAGAGTCTTTACTAATGGTGCCATTCCCTGCGAGTACAGTTTGCTCTGCTTATTCATATTCATGATATTGATTTTAATAACTTTACTCGGAATTCCTCCCTTCACGCTAAAATAAAACCAGGACCTGAAGATAAAGACAAAATAAATAATAGTCAATATGTTGCATTAATTCAAGTGTCAGATCATAAAAAAATTGATAAAAAAAACAATTATGTTGACCAATTTCTTTCCTCAGGTTCATCAGTTCCAATCAATGAATATGAAGAAATATCCCTGAAAATAATCTAAATTTGCTTAGTTTGTTAAAATCATCAGATTTGCTGGAACAAAGAGTCAATCCACGTCATCCATTACCAGATTAATAGTCATGTGAAACAACAACAATAAAGTTGCTAATTAATTGAGGGAAACAATCTCCATCAATTAATCTTTAACTGACTCGACATGAAATGAGGCGAAAAACTCGGAGAATCACACATCCGAAGTCACCTGCCATTCCAACCATCTCTTATATGTGTTACATCTAGTTATTCGTATAATGAATACTGACTGTTATTTTCTGAAAGAAATCTAGCTAATTTAAATCTAAATGAATCAATACTTACTCATTCCACTTTCTCCATGACAGCCTGTTCCATAACTTAATTCTGAATTTACCCCTCCTTAAACACAGACTATCCCATCTGGTTCCACTGTTCTGGGCAAAGTGAAATTGCTAATCATGGTTCACTTTTGCGAGAACTATTACATAGCCAATAAATTTGCTGCTTTTTGGGGTTATGAAACTTTTCCTGTGGAAATGTGTGCAATAATAACATTATTGATCCTCATAATCAAACCTCTCCATTCTCAATCATTTTTGTTGCACTCCATTAACTTTGTCATTTAGATTAAGTAAACAAATAGTTTACAAAAACACAAGAATAATTAAGACAAACTTATTTTCTAAATGAATTAAAAAATAAAAGATGTATTTGTATAACTTCTTTCACATCCTCTGGGCATACCAAAGTACTTGCATACAAGTAATGACAAACAAGTAGAAGCTCTCTGGCCCAGCTTGTCCCATGTAATTATGATTCCTGGTGCAACACAAGAATATACTCTCCTACCCACCCAAAGCTTAGGAGGAAGAAATCTGGAAATTTCTCTCCATCTCATTTAGGTTACTGGGCAGCCACCTATCCAACAATTTAATTCTTGGCACGTAACTAGATCTGGCTTATTCAATTTAACAGTGACACCCTAGGTGCAACCAAATTTAAACAACTGGAGAAAGCTGTCAACTGGAATCTATTCTCTGTGTCTTTTTTTTTTAAAATGTATTTATATGTTGAATAAGTCTACAGTTCTCCACTGTACAGAGTTCCAACCCTTTTAGCCTATTTCAATAGCCAAGAGGTCAGAATTTGAATGCAGAGATAGCAACGAAGCACAGAAGATTATGAAACAAGCGGAAAATCAGATTTTAATTCTGCTTGTGCTCAGCCTCCCTGGCACACTGCAGCAGATACTGCCCAGAAGATTATAGATAGGATGAGGAAGGATTTGAAAAATTGAATGAAAGTTTTAAAATTGTGTATTTCCAGAATGGTACCTTATGGAAAATGGTAAGCACAGAAGAAAAAGATCCAAATGTGTTCAAGAAGAACAAAACTATAGTGTATATATACACCAAACCATTCCTTTCCAAATTGACAAAATGGGAAGCACTTGATTCCCAGACAGACAGTCAGGCACTGAAGCCTACAGAATATATTTGACACACTCAATATACCACTATAAGGATGGAAAGCACCAAAGCTCAATACTGTGGACATGTTATGTAGTGGACTAGCTGAAGCACTAAATTTCATGCTAATTAGATAGCTATCATAACACACCTAAGCATCCAAACAAGACGCCATACAACCCAAACAGCTTCAGAAGAAAAAGGCCTACAACAAGATAGTCTGATAAATTCTAGCGAACCTGCCTGTTGCCTTTCTATGCAGGAGATCCATCCTCTCAGAAAATATTTGTTGCATAAAAAGCAGACTTTTTTAGCTGCTGGTGCCTCAAGTATGTTATATGAAATGGTAGATGTAGTGCATTTGGATTTCCAGGTGTCATTCAATAAAGGTTTATTGCACAAGATACGAGCTCATATTTTTGGGGTACTATGATTGCACAGATTGAGGTTTGGTTAACACTGAAATCAGTTTTTGTACGTCTATAAGGTCCCTCACCAATCTGTACAGATGCATCATTGTCCGTGTGCATAACGGCCTTGTATGGCAACTGCTCTGCCCAGGAGCGCAAGAAATTACAGAAGCTTGTGCGCACAGCCCAGACCATCACAGAAGCCAACCTTCCATCCATGGACTCCATTTACACGGCTCGCTGCCACAGAAAGGCTGCCAACATCATCAAAGATGCATCGCAATTTGGTAATGACCTCCTGGAAGCCCTTCCGTCAGGCAGAAGATACAGAAGCCTGAACACACGCACAAGCAGGTTCAGGAACAGCTTCTTCCCATCTGTTATCAGACTGATGAATTGACTCTCTAGCCTCAAGTAAAGTTGATCTCACCTAGGAGTATATCCTGAGCAATGTAACCTTAATGTCTTTATCCAAGTCTTTTTGATCTGTACATCCTTTGCTTACTATGATCTGCCTGTACCAGTCATAATCATAACTTTTCACAACATTTTGGACAATATGACAATAAATAAATCAAAATATTGTTCTTTTTCAGGTTGAAAAGATATAACTTGTGGAACACCATAGAGATCAGTCCAAGGGCCTCAATTATTTCCTACCCCTATTAATGTCTTGGAGAAGGGCAGCATTTAATGCATTCAAATTTGCTGAAGGTACAAAAAATATGTGGAAGGGTATGTTCTGATGAGAATTTAAGGAATCTTCAAGTGAACATAGGTTGAGTCAGTGGGCAAAACTTGGCACATGGAATTTAGTGCACAGGCGTACAGTGTAAGGACATGCACTTTCGTAGGAAAAGTTAAAAGGAAGTCCATTGTTTAAATGGAAAGAGACTCCAAAAACGTGCAGTGGGGTGTTCTTATGCATAATACATTAGAATTTAGTATACAGATGAAGCAAATAATTGAGAAGGCAAATGGAATTTTGGCCTTAAATGCTAAGGGCAGAATTTAAAAATAGTGAAGTCTTGCTACAACTGCACAGGGTGTTGTTGAATGTATACTTAAAAAACTGTGTACAGTTTTGGTCCTCATCTTTAAGAAAGGATACACTGGCATTGGAAGCAGTTCGAAAGAAGTTCACTAGGCAAATCCCTAGAATGAAAGGGTTGACTAATCAAGATTGGCTAAACAGGTTAGCACTTTATTCATTAGAGCATATTGAGGTTGGTTGGCTTACTGAGCTGGTTTGTTGTTCCGCAGACGTTTCGTTACCATGCTGGGTAACATCATCAGACCTACGGGCGTAACACGCTCAAATTGGCACGAAAATGGGAAAACTACGCCAAACAAGAGCGCAACCCATGAACAACTCTACTTCCTACATGGATGCCTCAGGAACCAGGTATTACCACGCAGTGTAAGGTACAAACCACCCATCAACAACCCACAAGCCCGCAAAACAGCTGAACAAGACTGCCGCAAGATGGTAAGGGTAATGATAAACGACGCACACAACCGGCTCCACAAATACAACAGAGAAATTACACGCCAAAAAACTTTATTCCTGGAAGCTACCAATCAAGACTGGACAACGGACATGGAACGAGCCATCAACATCAGCCAACAGTCCACAAGAGCCAAGAAAAATAGACCTTTCAAGACAAGCTAGCCACACTTACCCACAAAAACGACAACAACAGAACAGACACCTGGATAAGAAACCTCTCTGACAGGAAACCGACAGACACAGAAAAAGCCGTTCTCACCAGAGAACTGAACTACAACTACAGGGACGCCAACAAAACAGAATTCCTAGCCACACTGGAAGCCACACTAAGGACCAACAATATCAACAAAGAAACACAACAAACAATAAGACAGACAGTAATCCCGACACTAACCAGAAGGAGCGAACTCAACACCCTCAACAGATTGGAAAGACAGGCCCTGGAAGGACTGAAGAAGGACAAGAACATCACAATACTACCCACAGACAAAGGGCGCATGACAGTGATACTGAATAAAAGGGACTACATCTCCAAGGCACAGGCACTGCTCGCCGACGAAAACACATACCGGCCAGTACAAACTGACGCGACACCGCAACTAGGCAACAAAATCCTCTACACGCTAAAAAGATTTAAACAGGCAGGACAGATCTTAAGAATGAAACCCGAAGGAACCAACACACCCCGATTCTATGGCCTCCCGAAAGTGCGCAAGCTGGAAGTACCCCTTAGACCCATAGTCTCCCTACCAGGCACTCCATCACACAGCTTAGCCGAGGAACTACAAAGGAGACTCAGGCACTTAGTCAGCAAGTCATCCCACTCTATCCACTCAGCCCAAGAATTCCTCAACTCCATCAAAGACATAAGGATAGACAATGAGGAGACCATGATATTGTTTGATATCACTGCCCTATTTACATCAATAGACATACCACCAGCAAGGGAAACAATGACAGCACGACTGGAACAAGAGCAATACCCCAGTGAAACCATTTCCACAGACAACATGCTCAAACTACTGGACCTATGCCTCACCACCCACTTCACTTTCAACGGCCAAACATACAAACAAATCAACGGGACACCTATGGGATCGCCTATCTCTGGACTCATAGCAGAGGCAGCGATGCAAAGACTAGAAAGGTCAGCCATTCCGCTAATTCAACCAAAACTATGGATACGCTACGTGGACGACAGCTTTGTCATCATTAAACAGACCAAACTAGAGGAGACACAAACTTATAAACAACACCCTCACTGGAATAAAATTCACCAGAGAGGAGGAGAAGAACAGCTCCCATTCCTGGATGTCGTGGTAGAGCACAAGACAAATAGGGAACTGCAAACGAAAGTACACTGAAAAGTCACACACACGGACCAGGTACTGAACTTCAACAGTAACTATCCCAGCACACACAAACGAAGCTGCGTGCGAACACTATTTAAACGGGCAACAACACACTACAGCAACACAGAACTACGCCAAAAGGAAGAAGAATACCTCTGAGGTTTTCAAGGATAATGGATATCCAAAAAAACTGGGTCAGAAGATGCCTACATGAACAACATCAGGAAGATACTACACGCCTCGACACACTCATCACATTACCCTACATCGGAATTAACCACAGGACTCTTACAACCGCGGGGCATCAGAGTGGCACACAAGCCCACATCAACCCTACGACAACTGCTCACCCGAACTAAAGACCCACTCCCCGCCATGGACAGGACCAATGACATCTACAAGATCCCCTGCAGAGACTGTGAAAAACACTACATCGGACAAACAGGAAGGAAACTAACAAGAAGGGTACACAAACACCAACTGGCTACAAAAAGACATGACCAATATTCACTCATCTCAATCCACATGGATAAGGAGAACCACCAATTCGACTGGGACAACACCAAAAATCCTGGGACAAGCTAAGCAGAGACAGGTACGGGAATTCCTAGAAGCCTGGCTTTCTTCGTGGAATGCCATTAATAAAAACATAGAACTCGACCCCATATACATTCCACTATGAAGGAAAACTGGAAGTGACGCAATCCAGCTCAACGGACTCCAGAATTTAAAAACCAGGCGGGAAAACACACCAACGCTTCATCGGAGGCTGCACTGGTGATGTTACCCAGCACGGTAATAAAACGTCTGCGGAACAACAAACTAGCTCAGCGAGACAACCAACTTCAACACTCACAACCAGAGCTACAAATTTACTCCAAAATCATTAGAGCTTAAAAAAATGAGGGATAATCTTATTGAATATACTTAATAACTAAGCTCCCACAGCCTCGTGGGGGGAAAACTTGAAAAAGTCACTATCCTCTGAGTGAAGACACTTTCTGTATCTCTGTCCTCAACAGCTTGCCATCATTCTAACAATGTGTTCCCTGGTTCTAGACCCCAGCCAGGGAAAAACATTCTTTCTACTTTCATAAGTAGTTTGTCTAGCTCTTTAGGTATTCTGTAAGTTACAATGAGATCATCTGTCATTCTTCCAAACTCTAAGTAAGAATAAAGAATAATATCTTCAATTTTTCTTCAAAAGATCAAAACCATGATCAGTCAAGTGAATCTCCATTGCACTCCCTCTATCGCAAATACACTCCTTTTCAGGTAAGGGGACCAAAAACTCTGCATAATACTCTTGGTGAGTATTATGGTTCTATACAATTGAAGCAAGATGTCATTACTCTTATACTCAAAACCTCTTGTGAAAAAGGCCACATACCATTTACCTTTCTAACTGCTTGTAGCACCTGCGTACTTATTTACAGTGACTAAGGAATAAGGACATCCATATTCCTTTGAACATCAACATTTCCCAATATCTTGCCAGTTAAGAAACACTGCACTTCCAACGCAACTCACACATCCCATCTGCCAGGTCTCTCCCACGCAGCCCGTCTAAATCCCCTTGATGCCTCTTCGCATCCTCCTCAAACACACACTTCCACGTCTCTCATCTATAAACTTGGAAATATTACATCTGGTATCCACATACAATCATTGTTTTAAATTTTGAACAGATGCAGCCCAAGCACTGATCCTTACAGTACCCTAGTCACAGCCTGCCAAGCTAAGAATTACCCACTTTTTCCTACTCTCTGTTGTGTCTGTTAATCACAATCTATGACAGATATATCCCACATGCATAAATTTTATTAATCGCCTGGTGTTGTATCTTATCAAATTCTGAAAATCCAAATACACCACATCCACCAGTTTTCCCTAATCCACTTTGCTGTTGTAGCATTCTCAAAATATTCCAACAGGTTGCTCTAACATGATTTCCTTTTCATAAATCCACGTTGATTCTACCTAATTGGATCATTGTTTTCTAAATGTCCAGTTATCACATGCTATATAATAGTTGCTAGTATTTTTGCTGCTACTCACATCAAACTAAAGGTCTGAAGTTTCCAGTTTTCTCGCTCCTTCCTTTTTTAAAAATATGAACAATATTCAAAACACAACGCAAAAGAAAAAAGGCAATGTAGCACTTGAAACCTTCTAAAATGTGGTACAGTTCCAGAATGTAAAGACCACCAATGCATCCACTTTCTCCGAGGCCATCTCCTTCAGCACTGTAGGTTGTATATCATATCCCAGGGATTTGACAAATTTCAGTCTCATTAATTTCTCTTTTTTTAAAACTCATTTGCTAGATGTATGCATCCCCCATTTCATTAAGTAATTAAAGTAGAAATATTCAAAAAAATGTTGAAAAATATATAGGAATAATGCCAACTAAGGTATTTTCACATTTTCATCCGCATGATCCTCTACTCAATGTTATGAAGTCAACATGAATAATCTAAAAGTCTTGCCTTTTCTGCAAAAATCTTAAGGAGGATCTGGGGATCATTTTTATCCAGAAAAAGGACAGGACTAATTTTTTCACAGGCCTTGATCAAGAAAAGCCAAATAAGCCAATCAGTGCCTGATGTCGCAAATGAGTCAAATAGGCCCCAAATCTGCAAAAAAAAAATCTCCAAGTATCTCTTCAACTTGTGCAGATGGACAATCATTTCTTGTTATGTTGTTCACCTAAGTTTTACTCAAATAGAGTCATAGATGCACTAGTGATTTATTAGTAATGGATCTTGGCAAACAGACCAGAATTCCTCTCATAGAGCCCCTTGAAATATGCATTGCTTTGGCTTATTGACTTTGGCTTATCATCAAATTCCAGTGATCATGGATTCACTTCCTTTTGCAACTCAGAGTGCTGACAGTGCGGGGGAAGCAGGCCATTCAGCCCATCGGGTCCACTCCGACTCTTCGAAGAGCATTCGACCCAGACCCATCCTATCCCTGTAACCCTGCACTTGCCATAGCTAATCCACCTAGCCTGCACAGCCCTGGACACTATGGACAATCTACCTAACCTAAGGAAACCCATGCAGGCACAGGGAGAACACACAAACTCTACACACTCGCCCAAGGCTGAAATTGAACCCGGGTCCCTAGCGCTGTGAGGCAGCAGTGCTAACTACTGAGCCACTCTCCCACCTTCATAAGAGTAAACCTCAAAAGTCACTTTAAAATGGAGGACATTTCTACTCATAAGGAAGGCAAAGTCATGTATTATAGTTGAATGAGTACTATAGAGTGGTGACCACAACGATAACAAAGCAAAGTCATCACAAATAATGTTCACTGCTTTCATGTGATTTTGAAACACACTCACTCTGATAAATTCACCTTTTATTGGAGTATGAAAAAAAATCTAGCATTTACAATTCCTAGGCATTTAACTTTAAAACTTGGAAAATGATGGGCATGTAGTAAGAAGCTTAACAAAGCTTGATGAAGCTTTAATAAAATGTAATTTGTAAATAGTACTACAATAGATTTTCACCTTCTGTCCAACAAACTGAAATGATAAACAATCTACTTGAACTATTTACAATCAAATCTATTTAGTACATATTATTGGTGAATTTTACCCAAAACTCATTATACTCATGATTAGTGATTAGAACATATTGAAATTCTCTTCCCTTTGCTTGTCAACATAAACCAATATGCCACAAGGTGATTCCATCCTCTAATGCCTATTATCATCAGATGCATCTTGTTATAATGCATTTTTTCCATACTTTCTCCTGTAATGAAAGGAAGTTTCCAGAGTTTCATGCAACAGTAATGTCATGGAAAATGATTATGGTTTATGCAGATTTAACCTGGCAACAAAATATCTATTTACCCCAAATGCACAAAAAAAACTCGTTAAATTACCTATTACCATTCTCGAACTCCGTATCAGCACAGTCCGGCTTGGTCCACACATTAAACTCACAATCTGGTGTGATTAACACATTTCCTAAATTTCCTGTGCCTGTACTGCCACCACTGGGAGTTGAATCCACTTCTCCTTCAGGATGCTCCACTTTTTCAACTTGAGCAATATTTCCAGAATCAAACTTGGAACTAAAAAGTAAGCCGCCACATCGAATTTCCATTTTTGCGGCAAGACAGAATATTTCAAGTTATCTTTCATTCTTCTGCGTGACACTGTGAGAGCAGTTATATCTTGAGCTTCTGTGCAGGGAAAGAAAATAATTATTCCCAAGTACTATAAAAGACAGTTAAATGGTTTACTGATTAAATAGAATTGCAGTAAAACTTAAACAAATCATTACCAAAAATTGTCTTGGTCTTTCAACATATCTGCCTAACCACTGCCTCATAGATTAAACTAATACCTTTTAAAATCAAGAAATTGAATATAAAAATCTCGAGGTGCAATTTTTTTCCAACATATAAAATCCCTGAAAAGATGGGTGTAGAATCAAAAAGGAAACTCTATCTCTATATAATCTCTTTCAAATATTAATAGCATAGGAAATAGTAAATCAGTGAGTTCCTACAGGAAAGACAAGGTCAGTCTCTGGGTCCAGTCTTCCAGTAAAAATTACAGTGAACTAGAGAAACAGAAAATTGCACAGCTGGAAAGAAATGCAAAACAAAAATATTTGCACAAACAGCTTATCCTGTAAAGGCTAGACGCCCATTTAATAAATATATGGTATTTGCAACTTAATAGTCTAGAAAATACATGACTTCTATGTTTTTCAAATCTTTCACTAACCGTTCACTGCAAACTGTAAGCAATTCAGAGAATGTGAATAAAAGCTGTCTGATGTTTAACGATGTTTAGAACCCATGCAAATCTGATCACACAGATTGGCCCCTTATAATTCTAGATGATCCTTTAGAACTGAAATGAGGAGGAAGAATTTCTTCAGCTACAGGGTGATAATCTGTGGAACTCATTGCCACTGAGTGCCATGAAGGCCAAGTCACTGAGTATTTAAGACAGATAGATGAGTTTGTAATTAGTAAGCGTTTCAAGGGTTACAGGGAGAAGGCAAGAAAATTGGGTTGTAAGACACATTAACCATATGGAGCAAACTTGATGGGCTGAATGGCCTAATTCTACTTCTATACCTTGTGTTCTTATGGTCAGATGATCACAATCAGCCAGAATACAGCACAAGTTGTCTGCCCTGCAATAACCAAAACCATTGACCTTATAAACTTTATGAAAAGCCTCAAACTTTGTGGGAATGTTTTTAAAAAGAAAACAAAGCTACAAGATTTGAAAGCCCCAGTAGGAGATCATGAGCAAGGCTCATAAATCACACAGCTTACAATTAACTCATAACTGTTGACATTCTGCAACCTTTCATAGATGCCATTCACTCCTGTTCCAACCCAATCATAGTTGTGTGATGTCCTGAGAAACCTTCCACAATCCTTAATCGTAAGAAAATTCAAACTATATAGGAGCAACAGCTCTAAACAAGATTCCTGGGGTAGTGGAAGGGCGAGGGCCCAAGAAGAGTATCACAGAAACTGATTTCAGAGCAAGAGGCCACTGGCAAGTGACTTAACAGATCTCCCCAAAAGCAATCCAAGGAAGCCTTGTCATTCTAGATACTCAGCACCGATTTTAAATAACATAGGCTAATCCAGGAGTGACATGTCAAAGACACTTCATCTTGTTTCTGACAACCCTCCTTCCTCATAACTGGACTCAAAATGCTGTCAGAAAATGTAATTATCAGGTTAGTGCAGGGAATTAGTTTAAATATTAAAACCCTATTCTGGCAATTTTAGGGACAACAGCTTGTACTTGTATAGCACTTTTAGCATAATAAAACGATCTCAAAGCACTTCACATTAGTGAATCCAACACCAAACCACATAAGCCCATAAGGAATAGGAGTAGGTCATTCGGCCCCTTGATTCTGCTCTGTCATTCAAAGGGTCAGACCTGAACCAGCATACTTCACATCCACTTTCCTGCCCTTTCCCCCATACGGATTGATTTTTCTACTGACCAAGAATCTCTGTCTCAACCTCCAAATATACACAAGGACTCTGCCTTATCTCAGCTCTCTACGATAAAGGAGTTCCAAAGACTCTCCACTATCTGAGAGAAATCATTCCTCATCTCAGTGTTCACTTGGCACCTCTTGATTATGAGACTGTCCCCTCTGGTCCTAGACTCTCCCATGGGGGAAATGTCATCTCACCATTTATCTATCAAGCCCTTTAAGAATCCAAGTTTCAATTAGATTACATCTCATCTTTTAAATTCCAACAAGTAGAGTCCCAATTTGTTCAACCTTTGCTCGCAAGGTATTCCCTCTATACCAGGATCATCCTAATGAACTTTTTCTGAAATGCCTGCAATGAAATAATATCGTTCCTTAAATAAAAGGGACAATAACTGCTCACAGTAGTTCAGATGTCTCACCAGCACCTTTGATTAGTTGCATAACGGTGCATACAGGTACATGAAGGGGTACTGAAGTAGATAATCATGACACTCATCACAGGTAGATTTTAAAGAGTGCCTTATTGGAGCAAAGGGAGGTAGCAAGACTTAATGAGCTAATTGTGCAATTTAGAGTCTTGGCAGCTAAACTAGCAATGCTAAAGCTACTGAAATCAAGGATACTTAAAAGGCCAGATTCAGCAAACTACAGAGATAGAGGGATGTGGAACTACAGATTACAGATCCAGGGCTTAATTTGAAAACAAGGATTCATCATTTTCAAATTAAGCCATTAATTAAACACTGTAGGAGGTCATTGAACAAAGTGCTGAAAAGTGAACCAAGGTTGTATATTAGAACGGGGCAAAGTTTTGGGTGACCAAAATTTATAGAAGGGTAAAACATGAACACAGCCAGGAATTTGTTGGGGTAGTCAAGTTGAGGTAACAGTCATCATTAAGTGACTGGATACATGGACAAAGTGGACAGTACACTGACAAATGAAATTACCTGAAGTATGGCAAGATTCTTTGATGTTTTAAGAAAGATTGAGGAGAAAATAGAAACTAAATGGTATATTTCAAGTAGGTGTGGGAACAGGGAGATCTGTCAGTGTGCTTCTACATATTCTTGAGTGTGACTGGACAACTGAGAAGGCAGTTGAAAGCAACTCTTGTGGCAGCATCATAAAGTCATGAGAAGTGTGACTGAATTATTTCTTGAGGCAAAGACAGTCGATCAAGATAGTTCAATAGGTGCTCTATGTATTAACTTTTGGACAGCACTCAAATATCCTGTGGTACACCTATTATTAACAAGATAAAGTCCACGAAATTTAAAGAGAATGTGGACATATGGATACAAAATTGGTCTAGCAACCGGAAGTGGAGCATGGCTGATTTTCAGACAGGAAGGTGATACATATGAACTTCCCTAAGGTTCAGTTTTAGACCCATTACTTTCTCATTTTTACTAAATAAATGCCAGAGACTTTAAAGTTAGAGAGCAATAAATGCAAACTTTGGCAAGATTGTACATGTGATCTGATAGGCTTCAGGAAAACAGGCAAGATACAATTGTATTGTATGGGAAGAGGCAGATGGAGTTCAACACAGAACGCTTTGGAGAGACACCTGGGAGGATGAAAGCGAAAAGACAGTAAACTAAATGGCAAATGTAAAAAAGTGTAGATGGACAGGAAAGCTTTATTGTCAATATTCACATGTCCTGAAAAAGGTGCAGCACATGTTAAATATTCTTGTGGTGAATTGGTAGCATCCCTATCTCTCAGGCCAAAGGGCCTGCAAGTGCCACTGCTCCAGAGGTGTGTCATAACACATCTGGACATGTTAATTAAAATATTTACAAGGCTACAGGCCAAATGGGACTATCAAGCAAATACTTAATGATGAGTGCAGACACAATGGCCCAAACAGCATCCTTTCATTCTAAACAGGAATGATCAATTAGATTACACATGGGTAAGGATTATACAGATATTTGAGTGATGGGTATCTGAACTTACCACCTAAAAAGGGTCTGCAAGGTGGGAACCCTCAACACATTTAAAGGAGCACTTGAAATACAACAGCATACTAGGCCACAAGCCAGGTGCTGGAAAATGGGATTAGAATAGATGGATGTTTAGTGACTGGCATGGACATGATAGATGAAAGGACCACGCTCCATGCTGCAAAACATCTAAGTTGATAAAGATGGTTAGAAAGAAGAAAATCACATGGGTTATTTGCACTTAAGTGTGTAGAATACAAAAGGGAGCCTATTATGCTCCAGTTTGTGAACAATTCTGCACACCACACTTCAGGAAAGGGACACCTTGTTTCTAGGCTCCCCAGCCTGAGGAAACATCTAGTCTGTCTCACTCGGTTAGTATTTTATGTTTCAATGAGATCCCCATTCTTCTAAACTCTAGTGAATAAATGCCCAGTTGAACCAAATCTCAAAATAATACAAAAATAAAATTCCACAGATAAATGTTGATGAAATAATTTTTATTTTTGAACAGTTTTCCTCAGTTACTGGGAGAAGATAATATCAGAACATTTTAAGGTCAAATACAGTGCAACATCAATTTATATACAACAATCACACAGTATGATAGCAGAGGGCTTTGAGCTAAAAAGAAAGCAGAACATGCTGATTTTAATGAAGTACATGGACAGATTGATTGATCAAGCATACATGAGAACACACATTGCTTTTGAATGGAACTGAAGACAGATAGGTTGGATACCAAAAACTTTGACAGTGGCAAGAGTAGTCTATCACTATTTGCGCAAATTATTCTTCAAATGCAATATGTGCAGATAAATATACACAAATATTCAAAGTTTAAATATTATTTGGGCAGAGTTTAACAGGTATAGTAGTATTAATCCAGTTTAAAATACTACCACCTCTGGAATGACAACTAAAATGTATACAAAACAATGCCAAAGCAGACCATCAGAAAATACATTACGTATTTTAAATAGACCTAATTGTTAAAAACCTGTAAACAATAATGTGTTGTGAGATCCCAATGTTTAGGCTCAATGCCACACCAACTGTGATCAATTATCCCAAGGCCTAATTTGGAGGAGTCAAAAGCACTATTCAGGGTCATGGCTGCAGTGCCAAGTCACTGTAGTATCAGTGATATACCGTGGCTACAGCCTTAACAGTGACTTATTGTTAGATGGCATTGATATTACCGATATTCAGCAGTTACTGATGCCTAGTCTTCACAAAAATTTCAGTTAACTCAATACTGATCTGCTGAAATTCAGTGCCAAATACATTATTGGCACAGTTGTTTTCATGTATGTTGCCATTAAAATGGTTAGTAATTGGCATTGGCAGTAATTCTCCACTTTGACATTACCAACCGGCAGCTCAAGGTCACCCACCTTGGTGACATCACGAGCGTGTGGAAGTGTCCATCTCACCATTTAGTGCCATTCAGTTACCCTCAATTAGAAACAAAAAAAAAGCTGCAGGTGCTGGAATCCAAGATAGACAAATAGGAGGCTGGAAGAACACAGCAAGCCAGGCAGCATCTGGAGGAAAGGAGCAGTCAACGTTTTCGGTACCGGAAACGTTGCCTTTTCCTTTCCTCCAGTTACCTTCAATGTTGATACCGAATGATACAAGCGACTATCTAGATAAGTACTAGTCTTCGCACTGGGAAAATCTCCATCTGTTGGTCCCAAATGCTCAACTGTCACAATCATCAGGGATACCCCAACCGTGGCACCGGTCACTCTTTACCAGCGACGCCAGCATCAATCACTACCTCCACCAAATATTCCCAGCACTAGTGCCGGTCACCCTCACCACAACACCCTGAACAGGGAAGAAGGAACGGTCCCCCCACGGTTTAAGGGAGGCTAAGCGCTGTTCCGGCGGAATACCCACTTCCCGGCCCCGCTCACCTGGGTTCAGCGACAGCGCCGCCTCCCCGCCGCGGGGCTCATCCCGAGCCCGGAACTCTGGCTCCCATCCCTCGGGGCCTCGGTCCGACTTGAAACCGAAGCGGCCTCTTCTTCGGACCCGCTATCGGGCGGCGAATCTCGGCACTCGCTCAGCCGCTCTCGCCGGCTCTGGGTGACGGCGTACCGGTCTCTCCGCCTTCGGGCTTCGGCCTCTCGCTGCCGGCGGCTCCGGGAGCCCTCCTCCCCGTCGTGATCCCGCTCCCTCCGCCGCCTCTCGGTCGCCCCCTCTCCGGAGCCCTCGCTGCTCCTTTCCCGCAGCCCTTGCCGCCGGGTACTCTGGTCACCGGCCGCTCCCAGCTGCGATCTCCCGGGCTCCGTCTCTCTCTCCCCTCTTCCGCCCGTCTCTTTGTTTTTCCTACAAACAAACACAGACCCCAACTTCCCCTCAAACTCTGCTTGACATCAACAACAAGCAACCTCATTGGCCACCTCGCACATAGCAGCAAAGTGACCAATGATTGGCTCGTCACAAGGCACTTTTTATTTGAAAAAGGTCGGGTTGACTCATGAAAAGGGCGCCTGCGCAACCCACGCGCCGTGTAATGTAGACTGGAGGGTCGCCGGGGCAACTCTCCCTACGAGGGGCAAGGTCCGGGTACCCCGGGGGAGCAGGGGACCTGTCGCCTAGGAACTGGGGAGGCGGGGCTGGGACCGGTCGCTTAGGAACTCGGGGGACGGGGCCTGACGCCCGGGCAAACTCGGGGGCGGGGCCTGACGCCCGGGCGATCTCGCGGGTCACCTGGTCAAGCCGCCACGTGATCGTCCATAAATGGTTTCACGCAAAACTGAACGGTTTTTCCCTCTATGCACCAATGCAAAATCCACCAATTCCATTGAATTATCAATAACATGTAAAATATGGTAGGGACAGTGTCATAACAGGAAAGCTGAGGGAAGGAGGAAATCAGGGGGCCCAGTGGTACCCACGTATGTCTAAGATCGCCATGTGTTATCACAGCCGAGGGACTGTCTCCTGGGTCTTACTGGTGCTTGCACAGTTTGCCAGGACTGAACTTTTTTTGGTCTTAAGCTTGTATGTGTTTATAACTCTATGACTCCATGACTCCATAACTAGTGAGCAGAGATGAGGTAGAGACAAGGAATGGGGAAGAGGGGAGGGAGGGGGCAGGAGAGGGAGGCAGGAGGCTAGGGTTGAAACGGGGTAGAGAAAATGGGTAGGAGAATTAGAGAAGGGAGCACAGAGGAGGTGGGAGTGTTTGAGGGATGGAGGGGTGAAAGATGAGCATGGAAAGAAAGAAATGAGCGTGACTGGGAAGAAATTGAGTGCTAAGGAGGAGGGCAGGAAATGGGTGCGGGGTAGGGAGAATGGGTCCAGGAGGGAAAAATACGTGTGGGGAATTGGTGTGGGATGGGGGAGAAAGGGTGAGGAACATGTACAGACAGATTGGATTAGTTTAAACCAGCACCATGGTCGGCACAGACACAGTGGGTTTCTGTGCTGTACTGTTCTATACATATTCTGTAAATGGTGGAGATGGAAAGGGACAGGATGGGATTGGAGAAAAGAGTGGATGGGGATTAGGAAGGGCTGAAAGGTGTGGAGGAGAAAACAGTGAGGGTTGGATAGAGAAATGGGTGAGGTGAGAGAAGGATGAGTGGCGTATATGTGTGGCGGTGCAGAAAAGAAAAGGCTGCAGGGTGGCAGGTGAGGAAATGGTGAGGGAGAGAAAAGGGTGCAGGGTGGGTGGAGGAATGGGTGCAAGATGAGGGGGCTGAGATGCAGAAATGGGTGATTAGGTGAAAAAAGGGTGAACGGAGAAACGATTAGGGGTTTGGAGATAAGGAAGTGGGGTGCTGGGGTGAGGCTGCAGGATGGGGAGGGAGAAAATGTGCAGGACATTGGAAGAGAGGGTGTGAGGAGGTGGAGAAAATGCTGTGGGCTGGATAAAGTGTGGGTGGTACAGGTGGGAGGAGAGTGAAGGAACAGGGTGTGGGGTGGGAGGGATGTGGAGGGAATGTAAAGGGGAATGGAGGGATAGAAATGGATGCAAGGTTGAGGGAAGGGAAAGGGTGGGGTGTAAAGGTGCATCTGAGAGGAGAAAGGATGCAGGTTGTTGATAAAAGGAAGGTAAAGGGCGTGGGACATGGGCAGAAAAGGATGGAGGGTAGTGGGGGAAATGGTAGGGAGAATATTTACACCAGATGTTGCTCCTCACTGGAATAATGAAGTGGAAATCATGTCCTGTTATTTCTGGAGTCATCATAAACTTCAAAAATGTGAAAAAGTATGCAGAATTTCCCAATTGCCTTTCTTCCAGACCTAGGTTTACATAAAGCACAGTCAGGTATAGGTGCAGAAATTTCTTGAGACTTCTTAGACAGTACCATCCAAATGCACAACCCGTACCATCTAGAAGTACTGGTTTCTATACTTAACAAGAATGACTATTTATGACAAAATCAAGAGACTCTAGCTAAGGGTAAACAATCTTACTTGTCAGCCAAAGCTCCATTCATACACTGCTCTGGCTCCAACTCATCTTTAATCAGACTTTCATAACTACTTGAGCAACAGCTATGTAAATATCACTTAAAATGAGTGTTTCAAAACGGTCCTTTTCCATTTTAGTCCACAGTCAGAAATACAGAAAAATAAAAAAGATTCTACATGCATCTCATGTTTAATAATTTCCAAACAGTTCACTTTGTGCAACCTCTGTATTTATATAGACAAACAACAATGGTGTGAATGACCATTTAATCTGATTTTCTGATAGTACACAGTATAAGAAACATACCACTATCTCAGCAACTAATAAGAATGGATCAAACTTTTTGTTGTAGACCTGCTGTCAGAAGTAAAACATACTTCACACACTTTGCCTGGGTACTATCAAAATTTTTGTGTCAAACAGCAACTAGGATATAAACCTTTCCATAAGTATTCCAGTGTTCTCACTGTCTATCAACATTTACTTATAAAGATTTTCAGTCATGCCACCATCAATAGCCTTTCCATCCCATCACCCTCCTGCCCTGTTTGTTCTGGTCACAAATGATCATTTCCTGTCTTTATATTTACCTTGACTCTACCTTTCACTGTCAGTAATGAGGAAATATATTTTGATATCAGTTTCAGTTCCTTATTTTCATACTGTACCTTGATTATCATGTTTGCCTTGCTTTTGCAATCCTCCTAACTTTCCCTGAACACATTTGTTGCTTACCCCTGCACCATGTGACCAAAGAACAATATAGCATAGGAACAGGCCCTTCGGCCCTCCAAGCGTGCGCCAACACACTTTCCCCTTCCATACTAAAACTGTCTTTACTTACAGGATCCATATCCCTCTGTTCCCTTCCTATTCATGTATTCATCCAGGCGAGTGTTGAATGCTGCTATTGTGTCTGCTTCCACCACCTCCTCTGGCAGCACGTTCCAGGCACTCAGCACCCTTTGTGTGAAAAACCTGCCTCGCACATCTCTTTTAAACATCACCACCATCCCCCGCCACCCTACCCCGACCCCACACCTTGAATCTGTGTCCCCTGGTAATTGACCCCTCCACCCTGGGAAAAAGTCTCATACTTTCCACTCTAACCATGCCATTCACAATCTTATAAACTTTTATTAGGTCGCCCCTAGGGGAGAGGAGGCTTTTGTGAGGCAGAGAAGGGTGGGGTGTTGGTGCAGGTGATCCTGTATGGATGAGTATTTGCAACCAACTTCTTGTTGATCAACTGTTGCAGTGCCAAGCTCACAAGAATAACAGACCATCATTCACAGCAAACTACCCAACCTTTAGGACAAGATCAACCATGACAATACACAACCCTGCCACGGCATGCCAGATCATTGACATGTACACTATCATTACATGTGGGAACACCACCCACTATGTACACAGCAGATACTCATGTGACTCGGCCAGTGGTGTCTACCTCATACGCTGCAGGCAAGGATGTCCCGAGGCATGGTATATTGGCAAGACCATGCAGACACTACAACAATGGATGAATGGACTCTGTGCAACAATTGCCAGATAGGAATGTTCTGTCCCAATCAGGGAACACTTTGGCAGTCAAGGACATCCAGCCTCCGATCTTCGGGTAAACATCCTCCAAGGTGGCCTTCGAGACACACAACAATGTAGAATCGCCAAGCAGAAACTGATAGTCAAGTTCCGTACTCTTGAAGACGGCCTCGACCATGATCTTTGGTTCATGTTGCATTACATGTAAACCCACCACACTGTTCTGTATTTGTAAAATCTTCCTTACTGTACTGCTTTGACACCATCACTTCAGAACCTTGTTATGAGTTCTCAACCTAATTAGTTTGTACAGTTTTGGTTTGACCTTCAGCATGCAACTCTTGTACCTGTCATGTCATTCCAGCTATTCAGTTTGTCTCCACCACCTTTTTTGTTGTAATTATCTCTCTGCCTCAATTAATTGTATTATAAGTCATCCCTTTATTTACTATTCAGCTGGTGACACTTTACTCACACCATCTGACACTTTTGATCACCTGCAGAGACTTGTTATTCGGCCTGTTGACACTCCACTCACACCATTTGTACAATCTTTTGATCTCTCTGCCTGTAAATTCTGTACCAGTGTGCTTTTCCTCACTTCACCTGATGAAGGAGCAGCACTTAAAAAGCTTGTGATTTCAAATAAACCTGTTGGACTATAACCTGGTGTCATGTGATTTCTGACCTTGTCCACAAGAATAAACAACGAGACAAAAACAAGAGGAGGCTCTGCTGGCAGGGCCCATGTGAGAGAGGAGTACACATGTACTAAACAATTGTTTAGGGAAAACTGCATTTGATGACCAAGTAACTTGTCAATCTGGATGGTCAGTACCCAAAGAAGCCAATCTGATACATATGAGTCAGGGTATTAATAATGAAAGATAAAGAGATAGCAGATGAATTGAACAGATATTTTGTGTTGGTCTTCACTAGAGGAGACACAAATAGCACCTCAGAAGGAGTTGCCAACTGGATTTCAAAGGGATGGAGGAACTCAAGATAATCACAATTATCAGATAAGTAGTAGAGTAAATTTTTAGAACTGGGTGTCGACAAGTCTCCACGTCATGAGGGATGTTAAAAGAAGTAACTACTGAGTTAATGCCATTAGTTTTAATTTTCCAAAAATCATGAGATTCATTGTGAGTTCATTTAAACAGGAACACAATTAATGTAAGTCCTTTGTTCAAAAAGGGAGGGAAGCAGAAATTAGGCGACTACAGGCTAGGTAGTTTAAGATCTGTCATAGGAAATGTCATAAGCTGCTACTAAAGAGTCATACAGTCATACAGCATGGAAACAGACCCTTCAGTTCAACTCATCCATGCTGACCAAGTTTCCCAAACTAAACTCGTTCAATTTGCCTGCGTTTGGCCCACATCCCTCTAAACTTTTCCTATTCATGTACCTGTCTGAATGTCTTTTAAATGTTGTAACTGTACCAATTCCGCCAGCAGTTCATTCCATGTACAAACCACCCTCTGTGTGCAAAGATTGTCCCTCGGGTCCCTTTTAAATATTTTCTCTCTCACGTTAAAAATATGCCTTTTAATTTTGAACCTCCCTGCCCAGGGAACAGACCTTGGCTATTCACCTTATCTATGCCCCTCAAGATTTTGTAATCCTCTAATCAGTCCTT